GAAAAATATCAAAATTACGCACACGCACGTGCTTTCTTCGATGCACTGAGCTCACGTATCTCTTGTATTTTGCTCGCGTACACCCCTGGTCAGGATGTGAAGTTCTTTCAGCAATGCCACTTCCATTGACTACTAAGCCAACGCACCCACCTCACGCCCTGCCGCTTTTGCATGTTTTCGCTCCAGTTCGCTTCCCAATCGGATATTGGCAACGCGAAGGCTGAACCAGAGAACAAGAAGACGGCGTTTAAAAGCGCTGCCTTCCACCTCATTTTGCCGTTCTTGGCATGTCGATCGACTGCAGGGAGCACAGCCTGCTGAAGATGGTTGGGTACTTGTGGGGTGAATGGGACCAGGAACGACCCATCACCCAGACCGAGCTCTCGAGTAAGTTCCGATTTCGGTCCTGCGCTTTTTGGCCAAGCTCCANTGCGCTTTTTGGTCAAGCTCCACCTGGTAAACCTCCTCGACCGTGTTGTTGAACGTCCTTTCCTCGTGCCTTTTGTCGCACCTTGGTCCCATGTTGATGCAAGCAGGCGACGAGCGGTGTTCCCTACGTATTACGTGGTCCTCTTAGTAGCAGGTTCTATGCAGCGAGTGGTCATGGGTTTTATTGCAACAAGTGGCCATGGCATGGCGAGGACGACAGAGTCAAGTTTCCATCCTTGGTAGTGGCTCATGCGGTACCAGGCTGTCTCGTGCTGTCGTTCCGGCCTTGCGTTTCCAATTAATAGCAGTACATTACATCGCCCCACCTAACGTTGGGGTAGGTGTCGCTTGTACGTTGTGTACTTCGGTCGTGTACGGTACGTGTGGCAACCACTAGATNTCTTTTCGGCGTTGCGTTTCCAATTAATAGCAGTGCATTACATCGCCCCACCTAACGTGGGGGTAGGTGTCGCTCGCACGTTGTGTACTTCGGTCGTGTACGGTACGTGTGGCACCCACTAGATGAAAACACCAGGGAGCCCCGCGCGAACCGCGTTTGCCGCGCATACGTACATGAATGAGTGGTGCTCCACTGGGACTGTCGCCACATGAAATGGGGGATCGTGTGCACCTCTTTATGGCTTGTCCGAAATTGATCAGTCTTGGATTATTTTCGGGTCGCCAAGATCGCACAGCGGAGACACAAGTAATTCATGCCGTTCTTGTTATTTTTCGTATTTCGGTGCCATCTCTCCGACTCNGTCACCTCGATTCCTGAGGAGGTTGCCGTCTTCATTGCGCCCATGAAGTCGACCACGTGGCGCGCAGCACGGGCCGCGCTCCGCACAAGCATGTTGGCCATGCTGAAGAAGGTCACCCACGATTAGACGGAGGACGATGGCTCGCCAGGACGTGAGCTCACGTCAGCCTACATCGCGGACACAATGACTTCGCAGATGGATGAGCAAGTGGGGTGCATGGATGAAGGTCGGGCAGTTTTCGCTTTGAAACTTGCTTGTATTACGAGAACAGCGCGTTCAACTAGCGTCGTGGGACTAAGGTTGCCCGATCCATTTGGGGATGCGGAGTGACATACTTGAGAATGCCAAAAACCTAGGGTGGTTCGTCTCATTGTGGGGAGGTTTGGTGCCATGGCTTTAATTGTTTTATACGCCGTCGCGTCGGGCCCGATGTCGTCATGTAGTTGTCGGTGTGGCACCCACCCCACGATAACTCGTCTTCGCCCCGGTGGAGATCGTGTTCACGAAAATTAGAGCCCC